GACGATGTGATAGGGCGCCTCACTGCCGACCTCAAGGTGGAGAAAGAACGCATCGCCAACGGAGTTCTTCTGGAGGAAGCGTTAAGACAGCACCCTGACTTTGATGGGTTTGCCAAGGACTTCAGCGATGCAGGCTTCAAATTTCTGATGAAAGGCATTGCTGCTGACATGCCCCACCTCCAGATCGACCTCGGCGATCTGAAGAAAAGGTATGCTAAGAAATGGGCCTCCGGACTTGACGGTACTCCTGGCCCCCAGTCCCTGGTGGACAAGTACGCTAGGGAGCTGGACTTTGACTACTCCGACACAGAGGATGAAGACGCTCCAAGTCAAGAGCCCGCTGATGTTGGAACCACGCAAGAGGAAGTCCCCTCACAACAAGGCAGATCTTAGGAGATGAACCTTCTGGGCTCCCAGGGCGAGCTGTCCTCCCACCTCGGAAGTAGCTGAGGCTTCTTTTTTTATATATTATTATTATTTTTTTATTTTTTGTAAGTTTTTGGGCAGAGCTGCAAGGTATATAAGCCTTGGCTCTGTCCTTTAATCAGTGAAATCTCTATTCCTTCATTTTTGCGCATCAAACTCTGTCTCGTTCTTTCATTGCTTTTTCCTTATGCTTTTGAACCTGCTTTTGCAATTTTGAACTGGTACATGAATAATATCATCTCGCACCTCTAACTCGTAGGTTTAAAGGATTGAGTGTGGGATGAACTCTTTTTACATCGCACCTTTTTCTTAAGGTTTGAATTTGAGAGTTTCTTTTACTGGACTTTAATATTTCTCCTCGAACTCGGAAGTCTAATAGGCAATATTAAACCAATTTGAACTTTCTACATCGCACCTTTAACCTAAGCTATCAAAGGATTGAATTTTGAGTCCATAATTAATCTACGCACCGCACCTCGAACCCGTGGGTTTGGAGGATTGGATTTCTTGAACTTTCTACATTTACCTTACCGGTTTACAAGTCTTATGGGAATCCGTGGCCCCCATTTAATTTCTGATCGAACTCAGAGTCATGAAATTAAATAACTCTGTTTATTCACCACTCAATTCCTTCCCTTGAAAATTTTTACAAGTCCATTTTAGGACCATTTTGACATTTCAAGGGTAATAGCGCTTAGGTGCTCTGCATTCCATGGATGTGCAAGCAAATTTCCCTCCAAATCGGCCAGCATGTACGTTCCAGGTCGGACTATGCCTTTAACCTCGAACGGTCCTTCCCAACTTGGGTTAAGAGTGCCCACATGACTCTGAATCTTTCTTAAGACCAAATGTCCAACTTGAAAGCTTCGAGGTGGAACTCGGGTGTTGTAATGTCTGGCCATTCTGTTCTGATACTCTGCTAGGCGCAGCTCAGCCGTTTCCCTTTTTTCTTTTAATAAATCAAGATTAAGGAGTAGCTCGTCCTCGTTCTTTGTTGGCTCGTACTGCTTTACCTTGTCTGTTGGCATGCCGATCTCAACTGGAACAACAGCTTCAGAGCCAAAAGCCAGTGAGAACGAGGTTTCGCCAGTTGACTCTCTCGAGGTGGTCCGATATGACCATAATACTTCTGGCAGCTCTTCGGCCCATCTTCCTTTTTTGGAGTCCAATCTCAGTTTGAGTCCCCGTTTTATAATTTTGTTTATTGCCTCAACCTGCCCATTTGCTTTTGGATGTGCAGGGGACGAACTGAGATGACTTATACCTAGCTTCGTGCAGAAGTCCTTAAACTTTGCATTGTCGAATTGTTTTCCATTGTCTGTCACAATAGCATTTGGTATACCGAAACGGCATACAATGTTCGTTCATACGAACGATGTGACTCTAGGCTCTATAATATGAGTGAGCGCCTCGGCCTCGACCCACTTGGTGAAGTAGTCCACAGCGACAACGGCGAACTTGGTTTGTCCTTTGCCTAGGGGAAAAGGACCTATGATGTCAATTCCCCATTGTGCAAGTGGCCATGGGGCCGAGATGGGGGTGAGCAGCTCGGGAGGCTGATGGATAATATTTGCAAAGCGCTGGCAATTGTCGCAGGTTTTCACAAACTGCTTTGCATCCTGCTCGACGGTGGGCCAATAATACCCCTGTCGAACCACTTCGGCCGATAATGACCTAGCGCTAGAGTGGTTTCCACATACTCCTTCATGGATTTCTCTAAGGATGTAAAGGCCTTCTTCAGGAGTTACACACTTAAGCAGAGGCAGAGAGAAGCCACGTCGGTACAATGCTCTATCTCGGAGTATGAACCGAGCTGCTTTTCGCGCCATCTTCTTTTGCTCCTTCGAGTCTTGCGGCAGATTTCCTTTGATGAACTCCACGATTGGGTCCATCCATGAGGGTGCTGGAGTGTCAACCTCCATCACATCTGGCTCCAAGATTGAAGGATTGTCCAAGATCTCGACCGAGACTGATCTGGCCAGGTAGGTCTCATATGCTGATGCCAATTTAGCTAAAGCACCTGCATTGGAATTTTCTGATCTTGGAACTTGATTCACCTCGTAAGTCTCGAATTGGGCGAGGTGCGATCTGACTTTGCTTAGATATTTTTCCATTCGGGGGTCTTTTGTTTGATACTCCTCCTTAATCTGATTTACGACCAACTGGGAGTCATTAAATACCTTGATGTGGATGGCCCCCAGTTCTTTAGCAACGCGTAGGCCTGCCAGAAGTGCTTCGTATTCAGCCTCATTATTTGAAGTTCGAAAGTTGAACCGTAGAGCATACTCGAATCGCTCGCCACCTGGTGCGAGCAAGAGGATTTTTGCCCCGCACCCCCTCTCATTGGAAGATCCATCAACGTAGATTGTCCACGGGAGGTCAGACTCGATCGACTGAGATTGTGGGGTGAGCTCCGCGATGAAGTCTGCCACTACTTGCCCCTTTAACGCAGTTCGGGGTTTGAATTGGATGTAGTATTCACTCAACTCCATTGCCCACTTCATCAGGCGTCCTGATGTTTCTGGCTTATGGAAGATGTTCTTCAGGGGCAAGTTGGTAAGTACTACAACGGTATGCGCTTGGAAGTACGACCTAAGTCTCCGTGCCGCAGTGACTAAGGCGAGGGCCAGCTTTTCCATTTGGGGGTACCTAGTATCGGCCTCGATCATGGCTTTATTTGTATAATAAATGGGACTTTGGCGTACTCCCTCCTGCTTGATTAGGGCCGAGCTGACGGCGCTGTCGGACACTGCCAGGTACAAGTGGAGCTTGTCTCCTGGCAATGGCTTGGCATGTAGAGGTGCCGAGCAGAGATAGTTTTTCAATTGTTCCAATGCTTGCTCGCACTCTGTCGTCCATTCGAAAGGCCCCTTCTTTCTCAAGACTTCAAAGAAAGGAAGGCACTTATCTGTTGAACTTGAGACAAACTTGTTCAAAGCTGCAATCCTTCCATTGAGGCACTGAAGCTGTTTCAGGGTTTTGGGCGCTTCCATCTCGAGCACAGCCTTTATCTTCTCTGGGTTGGCCTCAATCCCACGGTTGTTTACCATAAAACCAAAGAACTTCCCCGATGAGACCCCAAAGGCACACTTGGCTGGGTTGAGCTTCATTGGATACTTCCGCAGAACTCCAAAGGCTTCAGCCAGATCGGAAAGATGCGACTTTGACTGCTTGCTGTTGACAAGCATGTAGTCCACATACACTTCCATATTCTGGCCGATCTGCTTGGCGACATTTTGTTCACCATTCTTTGGTAGGTCGCCCCCGCGTTCTTTAGGCCGAAGGGCATAACCTTGTAGCAGTACAGACCTTGGTCTGTTATAAACGCGGTATGATCTTGGTCTGGCACATGCATTTTGATTTGGTTGTATCTGAAGTAGGCATCCATGAAAGTGAGCAGCTCGTGCCCGGCCGTTGCGTCCACGAGCTGGTCGATCCTCGGCAGTGGGAATCAATCTTTTGGGCATGCCTTGTTTAATTTGTAATGTCTACATACATTCTCCACTTCCCGTTGGATTTTTTAACTAATACAACATTAGAGAGCCACTCGGGATACATAATTTCTCTTATATATTCAGCTTTTAATAGT